TTGTTATAACCCTGCCTCTTGAAGGTGAACAGAATGATGATGTGTGAGCATCTCAAAACATCACGAGCTTTCAGTCCACACTTTTTACCTAGAGTTGACAGTCTGAGATCCTCACACGTTGTTGTGTATGCTTGTGTGTGCATGTGGCAGTCTTTTTCAGTGAATATTTAATAATATTTAAGTGAGTAGATAGAATGTAACTGAAATTACACTATATTAGTGTCTTAATTTGGGTTCCTAAGTAACACTTTTCAATGTCATGGTTTGGATTTTGAGCCTGTGAATTACAAAAAAACAGTGAAGGTTTTATATTCAGGTTATGTTCAGCTTACAAGCTAAGCACAGATTTAACTTTTAGATTTAACTGATCTTTAGTAATGCTGAGTGCTTTTGAGCTAACTTCTGACTAAGTCTGGACACTGACTAGAGTGTCCTGAAAAACATACATTAGATAATGATTTTTAGGTAAGGAGAGCTCATAATCTTTCCTCTCCCTAAAATAATAAGCCTATTAGGCATATATAGTATATATTTATGTGTACATAGAGTGTAATATAAGTCATTATACACATTTAGTAGTAAACATTATTTTATTATTTATATATACATAATAATCAGCATATATATGTGTGTGTATATGTAATTAGTGCTCTCCTTTCCTCCTCTTCTATTTGACATTAATACCGTAGCCTGGTAAAAAATTGGTATGAAATAATTGTTATTCCAAAAATGAGGTCATACTCCTTGCTTCTCTGGTCCAGCAACTTCAGGCTATATGGATGGCTGTATTATTTTTAATGCAGTGATCGTAAACCATTTCTAAGAGTGTAAGCCGCTGTGCACTGGAGCATCTGTGAGTCATAGATGTTCAGAGGGAATAAGCCTGGCCCTGCTCCCTGTCACGCCCAGCCTTCACTGTCAGACGACTCCCGGACGTACGCTCAGCTGCATCCCCCAAGCCCTCCTGATGTGCACGAAGTTGGACCCGGGCTTTGTCGTAGCGCCGCGTCTGTCGTGGCGTACTGGTCTCCTTCCTCCGTGAGCCACCAGCCGCGGTCCAGTTGTGGTCTCAGCCCAGCGACTCAGGATAGTCTGACTTCTGCTGAAAGCACTTAATACGATGGGGGGAAAGGGAGAACGCTTTCATTGAAAGCGGGGATATGGGAAAAGAGAGACACAAATCCTAATTCAGTACTTAAAGGAGTGAGAGGATTTAAGAAAATTTTGATTTATTGTCTTGATATTTTTATCTTATTTTTAAAATTTTTTCTTCACCCATCCCATTGTGTATCATACTGTTAAAGCCTTTCAGAGTAAATATTTCACTTTTTATAGTATTTTACTTGGAAAACATACAGAATTACATACTGATTTAGGGAAGGAGAGAGAGTGGGGCCAAGTGGGGCGTGACTTGGGTTAGTGATGCAGTGAGTTTCATGTGGGCTCCTTGAAGCGCAGAGGTGGGAAGGGCCAGCGGCTGAACTCTGCTGATTTTGGAGGTGATTTTGGGAGGTTTTTATCAATGAAAGAGCAGCTGGCCAGCAGGGGATGTCTGCCTCATGTTCATCTTCTTAAAACTCATAAACGTGACCTGAAAGTTCAGGTTAGTACTTCTTACATCCTTTTCTAATCTCGAAACCTCACAGAGACTTTGTTCAAAGTTATTTTGTGTGTATATATTTCTTTGGCTTTTGTAAAATTAACTTCTTGACTTACATTTTATGCTTGTATTCTTGAAAGATTCCTTGCCACTGTTTTTCACAAGGCCAGCACAATCGCTCAGCCTGCCCATTCACGGTATCTGTACGAGGCCAGGCTCCCTGAGTCGTGTAGTGCAGTGAGCTGATGAGTGCTCCCAGATGCACACATTCGCTGCGGGACTGGCTCTCTTCCCAGCACTGCTGTTCGCTGCGTGTCCTCGGAGATGTCACTTAGCCTCCTGAGTTTCCATATAACCCAGTAAAAAGGAAAACCAGGACTTATCTCTGCTCCAGCCCAGGTTTTTTTTTTTTAAGATTAAGTCAGAAAGGTAAAATAACTGATGCTCTAAACTGTCAATCACGGCTTAAGTATTAGGAAGTATTATCATCACACATTGCTGTGATTATCGTTTATTGTTTTCACGCCATTTTTATTTCAAGGTCAATGAAGCCAATGAAGGGAGACATATTTTACAAGTAGCTGCATTGGCTGAAGGTTTTGTATTCATACATTTTCCAACATACAGAAGATATTACATAGTCGTTTAACGGACATAAACGTGTTTGCACTGGGCACTCAAGTAACTGTCAGAACGTGAGCCTGCCTTGAGCAGATGCCGGTGGACGAGTGGATCACACAGTCTGAGAGGTCCTAGGAAAGTGAATCTCCAGATGGATATGGAACTGAAGGCTCTCAGAGTCATGTGAAGACTCACAGTTGGACGCTTTGTGCTTCTCCACCCCCAGCAATATTGTAGTTCTTAGAGGAATGGGAAAGCAGTATTTGTTTTGTTGTAATTGTTTAAAATTAGGCGAATAGTATTTGGACTGTAAAACAGCATAGGAAGTTGGATAATTAGTGTTTGAATTCACTGACGTTCTTTGTGGTGTAATACTGAACTCTAGCATCTGCCATTTACCCTGGGACTCTTTACTGATATGGGCAAGAGGTTAGAATTCTAGAAGGAAATACATTTACTTGCCTCCAGCAAGGTCAGTTGAGATCTTCCCACATTATCCATGCCTTGCCCAGCATATATATATATATAATGTATATGTATATACACACACACACATACACACACACATACATATATATAGACTTTTTTTTTTACCTGCTCCACTGAAATACCAAATAAAAGCTCTGTGCACCTGCCCTTTCCTTAATAGAAGACGTGGGCTTCTCCATCACTGTTGGAACCTTGCCACTTGGACTGTTTAGAAGTGTAGTAACGATAGGTTGAAAGGTTAAATGAACCCAGAGCCCAGCGACAGGTCAGCATGTAACCCCTTTGTGAAATGTCACGTCTTCATTACGGCTTGCCTGCCTTCCAGAGAGCTTACCTGCCATTTCATTACACTTTGTCTTCCTCTTTTCTGATATGGAAACTGGAAGCCAACACTGGAAATGAGGTGCTACCTTAGATTACTTAGGAAAAAAAGAAGAGAATTTTTGAAAGCAGAAGTGGATCACTGAGGGCCCACGTGGTTCTGGCTTTTTGTTTTTAGGTAGTTGCTTACCATTTCAGAATATTTTGGTCTCAACTACCCACTGTCAGGCTTTATGTATTGAACTTGGAAGGACAGATTGCGTTCCACTGATTCTGATCATCTTTCTGAATGACAGAAACTTCACTTCTGTAACTTTCTCATCCAGTAAGGTGGTAAAAACTGTAAGAACAGCCTTGAGTCTAGAGGACTATTGATTCCCCATGTCAGTATCCGTAGACCAGTCGATGAATCAACATACGTTGATTAAGAACCTGCTTTGTGCGCGCCTCTGGGGAGAGTGCTGACGGGAAAGAGAAAGATGAATAAAACATTTCCTCTGACCTCAGGGAACGTACAATCTGGGTGAAGAAATAAGATCCCATAAAAGTTCAACAATACAAGGGGGGAAGGTGCCAGAGCTGTCCCGTGGCAAATTGTGAGATAAATACCAGTAATCACTCCGAGTTCACTGGACGTGAGCCCTCATCTGAAGGACTGATTGCATAAGCTGGGCTTTGAGGGAGGGCAGGATTCGGACAAGCCAAAAAAAATTACGTAAGGTCTGTTTATGGTTTATGTAGTCCCGGCCTGAGAGTCTAGTGCTATGTTATGAAATCAGCACATCGATTTCTGGAGGCAGCACAGTAAGCCCGAAGTCCCTCTGCTTCAAATAGCCAGGGAGTTGAAACGTGGCATTATTACAAATAAGATGAGATGTGAAGAAGGGGGATTCAGAAGTAAAAGAGATCATTTTCAGTTCTAGCAATCTAAATACAAAACTCTAGGTGTATTTATTATAGGGGTGATAATAATGTTTACCTGCAGGCTCTTCTGGCATCCCCAGCATGGTAGGTCCTCAGACCAAAGGTGATACAGTTGTATCAGATGCTGTGTTAGGCAGTGTGGTAGTATGAGCACATGCGGGGGGTTTGAATAATTCAGTGTGTATTTTTTAAGTAGCTTGTATACATGCCCATATTTCTACATATTATTTTACTCTGAATTATTTGTAATTGTCTCACAGAATGAAAGGGAAAGTTGAACAGCCAGTCTTCAGAAAAGAGAGGAGTGAGGTTTCTCTAGAAATACGAGTATCAAAAGTAAGCAGTCTCTTCTGAATGCGGCTATGGGGTGAACTGCTGGGAACTCTCTTCCTTTTTTCCCCCCTT